AAAACCCGGGGGGGGGGGGGGGGGGGGGGGGGGGGCACGTCAAACTTTAAACCAGAATGGACTGGACTACTTGAGCTTGTCACCCCACGAACTATTAGGCGTCATTGGCGACAGGGTGTTGCCAGCTCGTTTGGTAGTAAGTGAGATACGTTGGACTGGCATGCTGCACACTGTTGACGACTTCCTCCACGGTTCAAGAGAGATCTTATCCTACCCCCAGATTAAAGAGTAAAACATTCCAGTGTACAATAGTGACAATAGAATGTCGCTTTGTATAGGAGAGCAGGTCATCTGATCAACCCCTTTTTGCCACGCACTTCCCACGTCGGCTCGTCGTTACTTTGGTCCACTTGAAAGGTCAATGGCGCGCACAAGATTTATCTATCTATACCCCTTCAGCAGTCAATTCTAGTTCCTCTGCCAATCGTTTCAGGTAAAATCGACGCGTCTCCAGTGGCAGATGTTGAAAGCTTTTCCCCATACGGGCAACTTCTAGCCGCCCCTTCTCATACGCAGCGAGGTCTCGGTTACCATACACATCCCTGCCAATAGCGTATCCGCTTTCCAAGTCTCGAAAGAAGACATTTACAGCTATGCCCCAGTCCGTGAGCGTTGCAGCTGCGTGTGGCCAGCATGGGGGAAGAAATATCATGTCTCCCGGACCAAGCACTGCTTCGTACGGGTGTGTCGCCGCCATCCGCGACGTTTCTAACTCTGAAAAGACGTCGAGGCTTGAACTAGATGCCCCGGGAGCAAACAGCAAGTGTTCTACATCGCGAGGAGGGAACAGTACCATACGCTTTGATCCTGCCACTTGGGCATAGACATTGGCCATGACCTAATAGAGGAAATAGAGCGATTAGCATATCCGCATACTATGTGGACGCACATATTTGGAAACATACATCATAGTGCAGCCACATATTTATACGCCCCGATACTCTAAGAACAGAGCTGAATAGGCACTGGTTGGCCGAGTCCAGCTCCCTTGGGAGACAAAAATCTTCAGCTAATTCCGGAAAGTCATCTTGGATATTAGCTGGTCGTTCTGACGGCTTGTCTCGAGATAGTGCGCGTAAGTAAATCCTTTCGCCGGCCTCGGCACGCTCCATAACTGTGCCAAAAGGCTCAGTAATGTAGCGGAAATTCTTTGAGTTGAAGTCCATTCTATCATGATCATGTTTGCATTCATGTGCGACAACCTAGGAATATCAGTTTTATCTACAAATTGTGGCCAAAAGCTTGCCCAAAAAATCACATACCTTGGTATTGTACCCAATTTGGTCTATCATATACGAAGGTGTCCACTTCTGGACACAGTCACCGAAGTTGGCATTCGAGATAATAACTGGCAGCCCGGTCCGCAAAATGTCTTCGAACTGGGCTGGATTTTCCAGGCGAATGCGAGGGATTGTTGCAACAGTCGCCTTTTCCAGATTCGCCTCCTGCGGCACCGTTCGCCTCGTGCTACTGATGATCCTTTGCGACGCCAAAAAGCGTACTTTCGGAGGTCCCTGTCTCGTGAATCCGCAACTCCCCAAGCCATCTTCTTTGCCCTTGAAGGAGAGCTGGAAGACTCCAGTTTCCCAAAAAGTACCCATTGAGAAGCACGTCGCTCCACCGCCAAGTATCACAATGCTGCCTTCGGCCTCCATTATGGCTGATCCGACCATAAATGGCAGAGCCTCGCCCTGAGGGCAAGTGCCCATCTTGGACACAGCATACGCATCATTATTGGGCATGTGTACTATAAGGATGCTTTGACCCTGTGACTCGGAACTCGCTCCAACTCCTCCACATACCAATGTTTGTAACTCTAGATCAACTGTTTTCGCTCCAAACACCGCAAGATCCTCCAGTTGATCCAACTCCTCCTCATACTTGATAAATCGAATGGTTGGCTGGACGAGAGTACAGTTAGCTACAATCTTTTTTTCAGGACAGGGTCGCTCTTTCCTTTACCTGTGAGTCATTATTATCGAGCTCCCATCTATACTTCTTTGAGCTTATCAAACCATCTTGCCCGATCCCACCAGCGAGCAGGCCGGTAAATATGCCATCGGATGTGAGGCGAGCATGTGAATTGCACAGCACCGCACCAAACAAAGGTCCGGGTGCCTCTCCCAAGATTTCACATTTCGACCAGCCTTTTGTCGCATGGAAAACGTAGCAGTCTTCCGACATTGTGGCTGGACCCGTTTTGCCACCAACGATAAGAGCAAGAGAGCTGCCGCGAAGGCGGACTGCCGCGTGTCTGAATAATGGAATTGGAAGACTTGAGGTAGGTACCCATTTGCACAACGACCCTTTATTAAGAACCCAGCAGTCCGATAAAGTATTGGCTGGGGAAGTGCGACCACCGACCAACAGCATGCCATAGTCTCCCAAGTCAGTTATCGAGTGGCACATGCGCGGGGGCGGTCCAGTAATGGGAACACTGGGCATATCCATTTTTCCATCTAGACTGTAAATATCGTATGATTCTTCTCTGCCAGCTGTTCCCAATCCCATTATATGAACAGCATATGCGGCTCCAGTAGGGTCCGTGATCGCGAGTACGTCTCCAAATCGCCTCTTAGATGTTTGTACATCATGCTTGACCATCGAAACGTGAAATATGCTTTCTTTTTCAGACGGCTCTCTGTGGTTGTATTTTGGTGAAACTGGGATCTTCTCCTGTTGATACGTGGCAGAGGCATGAAGGACAAAGTAGTGTCGTCCGAATAATACGAACTCCTCCCATTCGTCAAAGGGCTCTATGATGTCCAGGGCCGCTCTTTCAGAGCTGCTTACGAATTTTGCGCTTGACCAAGCTTCCCATAGGTCCCAAATATTGACATTTGAGTAGCCCAGGCCCGTGAATCTGCTGACTTGCTTGGCAAGGGTTGGATATTTGCTCACTGATTTTGGTGGTGTCTTGAGTTTGTCAAAGTGACTGAGCATGGTTTCCGCAAACGGATGATCCGGTCCATGGGGCAATAATTGCTCTAAAAGGCAAAATTCCGCTGTGGTTCAAGTAAGCAGATAGTTCCAGTATTCCTCTCTGTGCGCATTCCGTTTCCAATCGGATATTGGCTGGTTTGATTGCCATTTGTCCAACTTCATTGTATCGTCCACAGTGTTTAACTCACCTTTCCCAACACTACTTGACCATTGAATCAAAGCATCGGCAAACTTTGTGTCCATATAGGTGATGGATACCTCTGCGACAAATAGTACAGGGCAGTCAGCTAAAGAAGAAAGTGTCTCTAACGAATCTCTCAGTCTTGAAATTTCTCGAAGATCACACCCGATTTGACAATATCGATCACTTTGAAGGAGAATCTGATCCTCATTCGATTGGCTAACAACAAAATTTTCTCCCAAAATTTCTCGCAGTTGGGGTGTTTCCAGCACTATTGATCGCTTTTTGAGCATCAAGTCAGGATAGTCTATATCCACAAATAATACATCGTCGCAGAGCGAGGCATGTCGAGCGTGTGATTGCCATGGGAGGACGTCGCTACAATCATAAGCATGGGACGTGTCAGTTCATACAGTATCAAGGTACCCAGACTGACAAGTATGTTTATCTTTGTCCCGTACTCACCTGCCACACCCGAGATTGATCACAATCTTTTTGGTGGTTCGGTTCTCGAATAGAAATTGTCTAATCACAACATCAATGGCCCTGAGTCTCAGCCAATATCCTCGATTGATGAGTGGTGAACGTCTCTGGAACTTTTTCACGAAGTAGCGGAAGTAATGCGGTTCTTCGGGGTAATACAGCTTCTCCACGCTGCGCTTAGAGACGATACTGCTGCTATTTGTCTATGTTACGAGGTATTAGCGTCGGTGTCTAGAGGATCAGGCTGGTGAGGTTAGTCTTTGAGGAGAGGATAGAGGGCCTAGTTCTACTCGTGATACTATATTCTACTGCATGCCCCGTTATTTACTCGAGCCAACAGTGCATTTACACCCTTGGTTCTGTCCTGTTCCAGCGCAGGGAAGGCTGGGCTAGTCGCCTAGCTCTGAGACTTACTCCCATAATTAATTCGTCCAGGACGTGTGATTTTGGTGGCCCGTACGACATCGGAGCGTTTGCAGCAGCAGCCATCTTTGCTGCTATGTTATAGATGCTCTCGGTAGTTTGTCGTGCACTTTGAAAAGCTTGCTGATGGGCTATCGGTGGCGGGTTGAGCTGATACCAAGAGCCCAAATTATCACGTTATTGAACATTGAAAATATGCACAAAGTTTTCTAGGTGTCTCATGGTTTTTTCGCTGGGGTGGGGAGGAGTGCGTGGGTTTACCTACCGGGTACCTACCTAGGCTAGGTAGGTACTAGGTTAGTACACCCACTGTACCAGAGTATCCCTTTGAGTGCGCTAAGGTGCCACTTTTATAATAGACCCACTTTTTCTGCGATACCTAGCAGGTACCTTTTTGGCAATAAGGTCGGCCATAAAACCTTTCACACTAAAATCCTCATACTAAAAATTCGGGCATTTATAGCGGAGCTAACTGTAACGGTGGCTTAGGTTCTAAGGCATAATAGGTCTGTTTCTTAGGAAGTAAGTCAGGTTAAATGCTATAAAGTAGCTTTTAAGTAGTATTATAATAAGGCTAGCTTATAACGCTAGTTAATTACTTTAAGTACTCTTAGTTCGTAATATAATACTTCTCTCTTATTAGTCTTATTCTTAAGGCTATTTTATTTCATTTAGTAAGTATTCTCTTTCTTTCTCTCTTTTCCCTTTTTTCTTTCTTTGTTATTCTTTTTATAATATCTTTTAATCGTGTTTTAAAATAATAATCTCGCCTTAATTAAAAGATTAATTATAAACGTTTTTCTAAGTTTATATCTGCCTTTAGCTTTATTATATCTTCTTATAATTCGTATTAAAAAAACAATTAAGAGTATATTATTATTAAAGAGAAAGATAAGTGTAGTAAATATACTTTACGTGGTTATATTAGCTATAATTTAAGCGAAACGTCTTTAAATACTTATAATCGTATTCTTTATAAAAAGAATTATCTTAATAAAGAACGTGCTTTAACTAAGAAGAATTTAAAGCAAGTGATAGCTCGTTTATAAAGGATTTATTATTAGGAGAAATTTTTACGATAAAAGGCTACGAAAATAATTACTCGTAGTATAAAGAGTTTAAACGAGTTAAAGGTCTAGAAGCGTTTAAAGTTAAAGTCTAATATGCTTAATTAAACACTTAAGTTTTTAGTAAACTTAAGTTTCCTTATTTTTAATGAGTTTTTATTCTTTAATAAAACTATTTAAGCGACGTTAAGTAGTTCATAAGATTCTTAGCTAGTTTTTAGGTGTTTTTAGAGTTTAAATATCTCTTTTATTTAACGAGATAATAATAATTCTTTATATTTTCTTATACTTTAAGTATTCGTTTAACTTTATATTTATTAGTATCTTTTATTATAATATTAGTAGTAATTATAAATTTATTTAATACTTTCTCTAATAATAATATATAAAATATAAGATAGATTCTTAT